GAAATGCAGAAAAATAGGGAAATAGCAGTAAGAGAAAGTGAGACCCAGAGAGGACTATTTTTACAAGGTGAGAGATATCAATAACAGCAACAACAAAATCTGATTTAATAGCCAAATTATGGAAACTGCCCAAGAGTCCATCAGTGATGAGTGGATAAAGAACCTGTGGTATATACATACAATTACTCAGCCATTAAAAAGAATGAAATTTCACCATTTTCAATGACATGGGTGGAGCTAGACAGTATTATTCTAAGTGAAATAAGTCAGAGAAAGCCAAATATCATATGATTTCACTCATTTGTAGAATTTAAGAAAACAAAAGGAAAAAAAGAGGCAAACCAAAAAATACTCTTAACTAGAGAGAACATACCTAACCATGGGCAGAGGGCTGGTGTGTGTGGGGATGGGTGAAATAGGTGATGGGGATTAAGAAGCACATTTGTTGTGATGAGCATTAGGTGTTGTATGAAGTGTTGCATCACTATATTGTACACCTGAAACTAATATTACACTGTATGTTAACTAACTAGAACTTAAATATTTAAATAAAATAAAAATAGGCAGAGGAACTAATTAGACATTTTTTCCAAATAAGACATTTGAATGGCAAACAAGTACATGAAAAGATGCTCAACATCATTAACTATCAGATAATTGATGCAAATCAAAACCACAATGAGATATCATCCCACACCTGTTAGAATGGCTATAATCAAGAAAATATGAGATAAGTGTTGGTGAAGATGTAGAAAAAAGTGAATATTTGTGTACTGTTGGTGGGAATTTAAATTGGTGCAGCCATTATGGAAAACAGTATGTAAGTTTAAAAAAAGAAAAGTGAGAGACATTGCATGTTGCATATTGACTGAAACGATGCAGTCAGGAAGGATAAACTGATGATAAGGGAGAGCCAGGGGAGAACTGCTGGAGCAATGAGGCACTGTAGAAGTAGGTGATGGGATCAAATGCCCATGTCCAGAAGGTAGCATTGGCTAAAAGTACAGATGCTTCACTGGTGGTAAGTAGAAAGTAGCACTGCAGAAAGACAGTGTGGCTTACTAGAAAGATTCCCTCACATGTAACAGAATGTGGGCAAAGACCCAAAAGGATAAAGTGAGAAGCAAGGAAGGGACCATGGCTGGGGATGGAGGGTGGGGTATGGAGACCAAAACCAGAGGTGGAGATGGATTCTGGAAGTTACTATACCAAATTACACTTAGGATGTGCAACAAAGAGGTCAGGTGGGCATAAAAAGGTGTTTCCCATTGTTGATCACATGTATGAAGGTGTCCTCAGAAGACTGGATCATTAGGAGAGATTTCAGAGATGTTCTAGATGTTTTGGAGCATAGTGCATTAGACTACAGAAAAAGAGGGCAGGTACAACATTCTAGTGTTCAGAGATCAGGGATGTTTAGGGGGTAGGAGAAGAGAAGTAGAAGGCAGAAAAAGGTTGCCCTGAGTGGATGGGATGGACCTCTGTTTTAGACACTTCATATCTCTCAGAAGGTAACACCTCTACATTCCCACCTACTGACCTATCACACAGGAGCCAAGAGCTAGAGGAAGTACAAGAAGTACAACAGTTTATTGTATGAGGGACTGTAGGATGCCTCTGCCTCACTGATTTCTAAGGAAATTCAGGATGACTCAACATCCCATCAAACCAACAGGTGGTAACAGGACTTTCTTGCATGATAGGACCCCAGCACTTAGCACAATGTGTCCACTGCTAGCAGGGTTCATAAACAGAGGATGGGAAGAAGTATGAATGTGTCCCTCCTCAAAATGGTGATTCTGTGTCTAATGGATGAGGACCCAGCCCCTGTTATGGCCCCCAAGGTGAGGAGATACAAGGCCCAGGCCTGTTGAGCCAATACTCTCCAAAACCCAAAGGAGATCTTGTGACATGCACATCCTCTCTGCCTGGTGGGAGTTGGGCAGAGCCACAAAGCAAAGAGACAAGAAGGGGACCCAGAATGAAGGGAATGACCCAGAATGGTCACAGAAGCATTATATGGGAATCCAAGGTTAATGTGCACACATCCTGACTTAGGTGGAACAGGTCCTTTCCATGGCCCCCTAAGGATCCTACCTATCCCAGAGCAGCATGGGTTCATAGCACTGACCATAGTGCTACAACAAAGGGTTGAGGACATAAAGATGAGCTGTAACCAACACCTTCAATATTCTCAGTTTTCAGCAAAGAGAAGAGCAAGGTCAGAGAAGAGCTAAGAGAAGACAGGGTCAGAGCCTGTGACTCAGGCAGGATGCTGAGGAATGAAGCCTTGCTCATCCCATCTCATAACCCTAGCACAAACCTCACCCTCCAGCTTTCCCTAGGCTCAAGAGTAAAATCAGAATAAAAGGCCTCATGGAGGACACAAACTCAAGCATCTACTACTCCAGAGTTGGTGGTAGATGCTAGGATTATATGAATGCTTGCTAGGAAACCCTGGAATTCACCTCTGGCCCTCTGTGGTGACATGTCATGGTGAAAGGTCCTGACCTTCTGGAGCCATTTCCTTGATCTCTGCAGAGGGCACCTGAAAATCTATGGAGAGAATTTCAGGCAACTGACCACGTGCAGTGGAGGAGAGTAGCTTCTCCACAAAATCACTTCTCCTGTCAGAACACGCAGTCCTAGAAGATAGAGACCATGACTGCTTCAGTTTTGTACCCGTTCACCACAACCCATCCTGGGAGGGCAGTGAACACAGAATGAGAACAGGAATAAACCCCACAGATGCTATTCTCTACACCATGTAAGAGGGGGCTGGGCTTCTGCTCTTTACCAGCCATCCAAAGCCTAATGCCCCACCTGGGTCCAAGGGCCCATCTGTCACAGAATGAAGAACAAGAATTGTTCCTGTGTCCCATGTAGGGAGAGCAAAGAAGGGAAGACAGCCTGGACTTCAGGTGGGGATATGAGGAATGAGCACAACGTAGGCATGTGAGGTGCTGGGGGACACAGAGGACCAGATCCCTAATAGGTCTGGCTGGGCTTGCAGAGGACTGTTCATTCTCATCCATCCCCAGAGACAGTGAGGCCAGGACCCTGAATGCTTGGTCTGGATGAGAGCATGGGGAGGGAAAGGGGGCCTGGGAAGGGGCCAGAGGGAGATCTCTGTTTCCAGAAGGAGGGGTGGGCCCTGCCAACTGCCCCCCTTTCCTGCCTTGCCCCTCTTCTCCGCTCTAACTTCTCTGGATCCATGGCCAGGCAAGGCACAGATTGGGGGCTTTCCAGAGTGTATCACTCCCAAGGTCAAGCCTGCTACAGAAGCTGCAGGGGCAGGACCCTGGGCAGGCAGCTGCACCCGTGGGAATCCAGACAGCGGGAAGGGAAAGGAAGCCATTCCTTGCGGTAAATGGTGCTGGCAGCTGGGGAGTGTCAGGAGACAGGGGCAGGGTAAAGTGAGAGGCCAAAGCAGAATCTCACACACAAAGACACAGGACACAGAAGTCCAGCCACACAGAGACACAAACACAGTGACACAAATTCAATGATGCCACTCCAAAACTATTTCAGAGCACACAGAGACAGGTCCAGGAAACACACCTACATAGACTCAAGAACACCCTGAGTCAGACATGTGGGAGCAGACGCTGGCACAAGCACACATGCAGACACAAAGACAGGCTTCACACACATAAACCGACACAGACCATCTTGTAGACCTACAAACACAAATGCAGTCCAAATCCATCCTTCAGACTTGCTCTCCTCCATAAAGCCTCCTAGGCCACCTCGAACCAGGCCTGTCTATCCCTCCTCTAAGCTCTGCATTGTAATGTCCTTGTCCTTTCATAAGGATAGTCTTGGATTCACATGCATACCTCTCGTCTCAACAACTTGGCTGTGTGCTTTCAAATAAATGACAAGGTCAGCAAGTGAGTCTACTGCCCTCCTCGGCAGCCCCATTCCTCACCTACACACTCATCCCTCCAGTAGTGTCTCCAGTTTACTGCAGGTCCTGACCCCCAGCCTTTCAGCAGGCATAGACTATAAGGAAAGAAGAAAGCAGACAAACACATCCTTTCGAAGTAATGCTGGTGGGTATTCCCTCCCAAAATCTTTACCTCGTCTTATGCTCACCACTGTCTACCTCCAATCTAACCACTTCATCAGTGCTATTCTAAGCATAGTTACCTAATGCTAACCTTTAAAAAAAAAATTTATTCATTTTTGAGAGACAGAGCACAAATGGGGAAGGGGCAGTAAGAGAGGGAGACACAGAATCCAAATCAAGTTCTGAGCTGTCAGCACAGAGCCCAATGTGGGGGCTTGAACTCACAAATCGCAAGATCATGACCTGAGCCAAAGTCATGATCAGCTCAACTTACTGAGCCACTCAAGTGCCCCACCCTAACACTAAACTTATCCGTAGATAACTACACAGAGTAATGTCTGCACCTATACTAGACCCACAAATAGCACACGCTTATGACAGTATAGATCATCTACACTCCAGGAACTCAGAAGCTCCTTCAGTAACACCTGCACAGTCATCAGGGTAGGATGTCTCTGAAGAGCTCAGTGTTCAGCTGGAAGCCAGGAGTACCAAGGTGCCCAGACCCTTTGACTCTTTTCAAGCAGAAAAGCCTACAGGGGCCCAGCCTACCCTAAGCCCTGTTCTGGGATTAGCCCAATCTCTCAGCTGAAATTCCCACCATACCTTTCCCTGGCTCTTGCCTGCCAAACTAGGAGCTTCTGTTGCCCTGGAACACCATATCAGGAGGGAGCAAATGTGCCTGAGACCTGGGCCTGAAGGGATGTGGAGATTTCCAGGCTCTTGCAACACTCATGCCTAGGACCTCTACCCTAGAGCCTGGCCCAGGTGCCTGTTCTAAATAGGTAGTGGGCCTGCTGACACTAGGGAGAGTAGGGGTGAATTAGCACACCTCCTCTCCCTCTATTCCATGATCTCAATCAGGTGAAACGGTTATTCACAATGAACTCATCAGCAGAGGTAGAGCTGAAGTAAACCCCTTACTTACCTCTCAACATCACCAGAACTTCTAGTACAGGACTCCTCCACACCTCAGCCTCCCTAGAGATTGTCAAACACAATTTATTTATTAGGCTCTATCATTAACTCACCAAGCCAAAATCTTCATCCAACAGACTGTAACTCTTAGGTGGACACTCACAACTCAGATGTGTAGCCATCGGAGCTTGTGTTCCCTTCCCCAATGTCTACATTGAGCCTGGCCTGAGTACCAAGAGAGGGGCTTGGTTCAGGGCTGCAAGCTCCTAAATATGCACATGAAGTGCTAGAGAAATTAGCAATATTAGTTTTAACCCCTAGAAAAACAAGTGGTAGTTATTGTCAAGAACTGTGCAGGGGGTTATTTTATTCTGTTTTTAAGGTTAACAAGCTATCCTGTTACTGACTGTTTCATGAATGCTGGCAGAAGACAAAAGACTCCTGAGTCAGATATAAAGGACTTATCACTCACAGAGTAGCCATAGCAAGAGCTTTAGCGTGTGTGTGTGTGTGTGTGTGTGTGTGTATCACTTCCCCTTATCTACCAAATGCCTTGGGTGTAGCACAAGATGACAGATGCCTGCTCATGCAGTGGGTTGTGTTACAAGAGAGGAATGCTATGGTTTGGTGTTTCACTGCTTTTACAGTTAGAAAAAGCCAAGACTGATCTTTGTTCAGGGGGAGATGTTGCCTTATCTTTCAAGGTTTCTTGCTGCATACACAATTTTGAGAAATGGACTGGAAAACAGTCATGGTCCTACATTCTTGGCATACCCAGTAAAAAACATTCAGGAATGCTAAGAGCCCATAGCAGGTTGTCTCTCTCAACCATAATTAGCAATGGGTAAAAACAATGGTGAGGGAAAAAAGTGTATTCCATGTGCTGGAAGAAGACCTAGGAGTGACACTCAGGTTACAAAGAAAATCAATTTACAAAGATGCCACAAATTATGCTTAATGATAACTTCTTTAGTTGATAAGTAGAATTGGGGTTTTCTGTGTCCTTATTAATGAAGAAAAGAGAGATAGAACATATTATCATAGAGACAATGTGCATGTTGAACTTGGGTAACTTGGGAAGGGCTTGAAAAAAAACTTTAGGGGTGAGGGGCAAATGGTGATAAATCCCAATGGGACAAGAAAGTAGAATAGGCCCATATGGCTGAATAAAATGGAAGAAATGAGAACAGATGACAACCTAAACCTTTCCTTGGTGCTATTGGTGGAGAAAGTAAGTCTCTAAGGCGGCTTCCCCCATGTTCCCACCTCCTTTTGTTCATGCTTTGTGTAATCCCATCCTCTTGAGTATTGACAGAACTGTGATTTGATTGTAATTAACAGTACATGGCAAAAGCAATAGGCTGTTACTCCTATACTTATATAAGACTGTCTTCTATCATACTCATTGTTAGACACTCCTTTCTGACTTGATAAAGTGGACATGTTAGGAAAGTCCACATAACCTCTAGGAACTGTAGGTGGCTTTTAGACACTGAAGTGGCCTCCAGCTTAGAGTCAACAAAAATCAGGGCCCCCAGTCCTATAAACGCAAAGAAGTGAATTCTGCTAACAACCTGAGTGAGCTTGGAGGATTCTTCCCCATTCCAAGCCTCCAGATGAGAACACAGCCCAGCCAATATTTTGCAGTCTTGTCAGACCACAGAGGACCAAGTTGGAATACAGACCCACAGAGACTGTGATATCATAAATTATGTATTATTTTAAACCACCACATTTGTGGTAATTTGTTGCACAGTAAAAGAAAACTAATACACTGCTGTAACCATGACAGTTAAGAGAAGTGTCTGACAGCATGGCCAGCATGCAGTTTGTATGTGTGCAAGGCACCTCCTTAAAGTTCAGTGAGATTATAAACAAGGGCAAGTGGAGGTAGGAGGAAGATGGGCTATTCCACAGTATGAGCTAGGGAAGAAATAAGGAAGGAGAAAGCACCTAGGTAACTCTTCTCCTTCAGCTCCTTCTATAAAAACACATAGCTGTGGAGTCTGTGGCCCTCCTAATAGGCTGGAACCATCTCATCCTGCATAAAAAAAATAAATCACCATTTTGTCCCTTCATGTGATTTTTTTTTATATAGGAAGAGCCGTTATCTGTGAAAAGCTCAAATATATAACTAACAGTAATCTTGTAAAAAATGAGGGGAGTGTCCCCCAGGAAGTAATACAGTAAAAGAAACCTCTGAAAAGTGAAGTAGGGAAAACATTCCAAATCAGTAAGTTTTAAAGGTAGAAAAAGAGCTCTAGATTTTAAGTTCAGGAAGGAGGAATAATCAAAATAGTTTCCACTGCTTTACACAGAACCAATCCTGAATAAATCTTTCTTGAAGAAATGCTGCAAAGATGATTGGAGCAAGCAAAGAGTTTATTTGAGATCAGAGAGTTTATTTGAGTGTCTGTATCCTCCCTGTAGTTCAAAGTGAGCCAGAAGGTCTGAGAAGACCAATTTTTCAGAACTGGTTTCTGGAAACAATGTAATCACAAACTCATCATATCCAATGTGCTTCCTCAGAGATTAGTGACTTGGGGTTAGCAGAGATGATGATAGGTAACCAATACAACAGAAATGGGTCATTTCTTTGATCACAGGAGAGAAGTATCAAATTTTATAATTTATCCAGCTTCCATACCAGATCACATTTCTTTTGGATATATATGTCATAGTAGAAATGCTGAGTCATGTGAAAATTCTTAATTTTTTGAGGAACCATGAAACATTTCTACAGCAGCTGCACCATTTTACATTTCTACCAGCAATGTACCAGCATTCTAATTTCTCCAGATCCTCCCACTATTTTCCATATTTTTTGAGAATAGTGCTGGTTGGCCATGTATGTATCTTCTTTGAAGAAATATCTATTCATATCCTTTCCATTTTTGAACTTAGTATTTGTTGTTGTTGACTTGTAGTTCTTTATACATAGTAGATATAACTCGCTTACCTGATATATGGTTTGCAAATATTTTCTCCCATTCCATGGGTGGTCCCTCTACTCTCTTGAGTGAATTCTTTGACATACACAAAAGTTTAAATTTTAAGAAAGTACAATTTTCCTGCTGTCTTGTTCTCTGCATTTTTGATGTTATACTTAAGAAACCATTGCCAAATCCCAAGTTATGAAGATATTTCCCTGTGTTGTTTTGTTTTTTGTTTTTTTTACTAAGAGTCTTAGGTAGTTTTACCTTTTAAACTTAAGCAAACATATTCTTGCTTCTGTATCTTTTTGGAATCTCTTCCCAAATAAAATGTGAAAAATAGATTTCATGACTCCAGACTTTGTAACCTTCTTCAAATTGCTTAGCTTCTCTGAGTCTCAGTTTAATTATCCCCGAAGAGGTAATTTCACAGGTTGTTGCAAGAGTTCTATGTTTAAACATAGCTAGTATAGTGCCTAGCACACTAGTGCTCAATAATCATATGCAGTCTTCTTCCTTCCTTCAAAGGACTTGCTCTTCCAGGGCCTGCCAGCATCAATTATTCCACTTGTCTTACTGCTTGCTTATGGATACTCAAGCCCAGGGTCCCAAGTCTTCTATCTTAGCTCCAGAGTCCTCACTGGTCCTCCCTTCCCTTATGTCCTTTGCTCTAATAGAAGTTCCTGCCTCCACAAATATTCAGCTTCGAGACAACCTGGGCTATCACGGAAAATAAATTTTTTAATGGGGTTGGGGGAGCAATGGACAAAGACAGCAGCCCCACAGGGGCCCAGCCCTAAAAAGGGCACAGAACCCTTAAAACGTCAAGGCTAAAGTCCTTTGGGCATATGGGAAGTTACTCCTGGCCTAGATCCCGCGGCAGGGTCCTCTCCTTCCGGTCAGAGGTTCATTCCAGGCAGTTCCAGGGCACAGTCTAAAGTATTCCTTTATACTGGGGTCCTCTGTGGGGTCCATCCCCACCGCGCAGGCTCCTGAGGCTCCTCTACATTCTCAAACGGCCTTCCACTGGGACAACACAGAGACCACCCTTGCCTTCCAGTGGTTATACAGAAGGTCTCTGTGGGCAGACAGTGCCTCCACGCTGCGCCTCCCCATGGCAGCAAATGCAGAGAGAGCCCTGGAGTCTCCGTTCACACAGAGGTCCTCCAAGGGGGCGGCTCCCTGCACCGCCTCCGGGACTCTCCCAAGGGGCAGAGGCAGGGACACTCGGGGGTTATCTACTTACACAGGGACTCCCTTAGGGGCGGCTCCCACACAACACCTGAGTCCCCGGAGGGTTGTCCGCGGGCCGCAGACCCGTCCCTTAGGGTGCCTGCCGGGTCCCCGCCGCCCCCGCCCCCGCTTACCGGGACCGTCAGGGTGCGGGACGCGGGTCCGGGGCTGGCCGACTCTACACCGCGGACCCCGCGTCGCCCGTGCTGGGGCCGAAAGCCGGGAGCAGCGGCGCAAGCGTAGCAGCGGGTTGAGGTGGCGGCGGCGGCGGCGAGCGCGACCCTAGCACACCCACCCTCCCCGCCCCGCGCGGCTGCGGCGCGTGCGCGGGCGCGAGAAGATACCAGCGCGCTAGTGGGCGCGAGTCGCGCTCCGCCCTCCTGCGCCTCGAGGCGCGGCCCTCGCGGCTAGGTTAGCGACCTCGCGCAGGAATGAGGCGCTGAGGGACCGCAGAAAAGACCGCAGGAGGAGGGAGGCGCTCCGACGACCTGTGGGTCCGGATGCCAGTGGGCGCCTCCGACCAGCTCCCCGCTCTGCGGCGTCCGCCGGGTCTTCGGCAGCGGGGCAGCCAGCAACAAGATCAGTGCTGGCCCGGAAGAGGCGTCCCGGAAGGAGCCCCTCACGGCTCCTGCCCACCAAGGCGAAGCGTCCTGCCGCCCTCACCTGCCTGGGGAGGTGAGAATGACTCATCCAAGCGGCCTCAGCTCTCTCCTCTCTCGACAGGCCCAGTTGCCCAGTCAGGCCGCCGGGCAAACGACCCACGCGTTAAGGCACTCATCACAGTACCCTACTGCGGAGTGTCAAAATGAGCTTTCACAAAGTGTTCTGCTGCCCCAGCTCTTCCTGTGCGCTGCTTTCAGAGGTTATTGGTCTTCCGTCTCCAGCAGCAAAGCTGTACCTTGATGTGACCCACTCACTCTGCTGCTGCAACCTTATTCCTCAGACTATCCAGTTATGAGGGCTGTAATGTGCATTACACCATACTAGGTGCTTTGAAGAAAGTGAGGGAAACAAAAAGAATGTCAAAAGTCACGAAGCCCCAAACAGTTCATTATAAAGCAGTAACTGAAGAAATACAAATGATATGCTGAGGATTTTTATTTTTAAATGTTTAATACTTTATTTACATTTTTAATATACCTCGTGTTTCCAGATAAATTTGTTTCAGTGTCACAAATAAATACAAGTCACTTCATCATGTGGGATGAATGAGTTTCTACAAGACAAACTCATTTTGTCCTTACCGTCATGAAACTTAACAATAGGAATATAAAGTAAGTACAGTACTCTATATAGCTATCCACCTTTAAACAAAATGCCAGATACTAAACACTGTACATGTATTAAGTAATTTAAACTTCACAACATCACCATGAAGTCCTATATTTCATTGCTTCAATTATACAGATGCAGAAAGTGAGGCACAGAGGAATTAAACAACCTGCCTAAGGTCACATAGCTAATACATGAAATCCAGGTATTCTGACTTGACATCCCATTCTCCTAACCATTTGTTTTACTGTACTGACTCCAGGACCACCTTGAGGATATGCATCAACCCACAGAAATACTTTTTTGCAAGAATACGGATTAAATAATTTTACTAAAATTTGTGTTATAGAATTCATGGTCCTATGTGAGGTATACTTCCATATTAGTTTGCTGTCATATCAGTGCATGTAAAGATTCTTCGTACTGTCTACTTAACCATCTCTTTTTGTCTTTATTTCAGGTGCACCATTGCTGACTAATTTTACATCTCACACATGAGGAAAAGGTAATGATAGTATTATTACTCATAAAGCCAGAACTTTTCAGAACTTGTGTGTCTTGAAACAATATAGGTCTTCTTGCCTCTCTAATTTCCTAATACCATTTATTTAATGCGAGTTATATCATTATTTATGATGCCACATCATCCATCTTGCCAGCTGTGAATACTGGCTTCTAAAGTTCTCTCAAAACTTAAAATAAAAATAGGGGAACAAGTTAGATGGTGGAGAAGTAGGGACACCTGGATTTTCCTCATCCCTCAAACACAGCTGTATTGAGGTCAGGAAATAGATCTGCGGAGCAGCAGCAAGATCTCCTCAGTTGGAGGGAGACAACTTGGCAGGATCAAGGTGCATGCGAGTTGGGGGAGATAAAACATGCAATTATGTAGGAGAGGGAACATTTTCTGTGGAGAGACAAAAGGGAGAAAAAGAGAGTAGGGTTGTGAAAGTGTGGCATCAAGTTAGCATAAGAGAAAGACCTCTCTGGACCATGGACTGGGCAGTGAGAAGTACTAAGTGTACTAGTTCTTTTTTGCAAACAGCAGTTGGAGCTGAAACTCTGAAGTTTTAGAAATGTGCGACTTTCTCTGGAGCAGAGCCTTGGTGTGTGCTCCTAGGGAGGAGGGAGCTGACTCTGGAGTGCATAGTGTGGTGTAGTGATCTCTGGGGTGCACTGGGAGAGAACAATCCCCTTCCCAGAATACTTTGGCAAGAGGGTCTGTTGCCTCCCCAAGGACAAAAAACTCTTTAGGTACCAGCCAAAGGCCTTTCCTCACCAGGGTGAAGAGGCACTACTCCAGAGGAGGGGAGTGGATCCGTGCAGTGCTGGATCCTTTAAAACTTTGGGTTTTGATTCCCAGCTAGCCACCAAGGAAGAGATGCAAGAGAATTGTGACGCAGGGCAAGCTGACTGCCCTCGCTATTCTGTGAGGGCTACCTTAGCAGTGTGGGTTGAGATCCCTGGTCCTGGGAGGAGAGATTGGGACGACACTATTTTCCCCGCCAACACCAGCATGGTGGGACTTCAGAGAGCAGCACAGTGCCCCAGTGGAGGTGGGTCATGCTAACACCAAACCCTGCCCCTCTGTGTCTGTCAACTGCTGGAGCAAGACTTACTGGAGCTAGACTGACTGACCCAGTGCAGCCAGCCTGTTCTCCAGACCAGCACAGCCATCAACCCCAGGCACCAACAAACAAATCGTTTTTTTGTTTTTGTTTTTGTTTTCTCTTTCTTTCCTTCCTCTTCTTTTTTTCTTTTGGAATTAGGCTCATAGTTTATGATTTGCTTTGTCATTTCTATTATATATATATATATACATACATATATATACACACACATATATATATTTAAATCAGTCTTTTTAACATTCTATTCTTTTCCCCACTTTAATCTTTTCTTCTACTTTTTTACTAATTTTCCCCCTTTTCTTTCCTTGGAATCAGCCTTATGATTTTTTCATTCTCTGGTTTTCTTTTTTTTTTTTTTTATGTTTATTTATTTTTGAGTGGGGGGCAGAGACAGAGGGGGGACAGAAGATCCAATGCGGGCTCCATGCTGACAGCAGAGAACCTGATGCAGGGCTCGAATTCACAAACTGTGAGGTCATTACCCAAGCTGAAGTCTGACACTCAACTGACTGAACCACCTAGGCATCCCAGACATCTTTGGTTTTCTTTTCTCCTCTCTCCTTTTTCTCTTTTTATGGGACCAGGCTTCATCCCCCTTTTTTTCTAGGATTACTTCAACAAACAAATTAAAGCACATCTAGTTAAAGGTCCAAATACTCCACCACTGCTAGCAAGGAGATGCTCTGTAGAGGACTGACCAGTGGGATAGAGCAGCCAAAATGCAATAGCAGAGTGCATGCAAAATATACCAGAAACACTCCCTAGAGAGCCACACCCTGGTAGGTGTACACCCCTTTTTAATACAGTAGTACTCTCACATGCAGGACACATAACAAGCTTTTAAAACATGCAAACAACAGAAACTTAGCCAAAATCACAGGATGGAGGAGTTCTCCCCAAAAGAAAATTCAAGAAGAAATCACAGCCAGAGAACTGCTCAAAAGTAGGTGAAATAGAAGATAAAATTATGGAAAATAATGAAGCTGAAAAAAGAGGGAAAGGAAATTACTAGATCATGGGGGGAGAATTACAGAACTAAGTGATTCTGTGAAATGAAACAATATCCATGATATAGGAGTACCAGAAGAAGAAGGGTGAGGAAAAGGGGCTAAAGGTTTATTTGAACAAATTATAGCTGAGAACTTCCCTAAACTGGAGAAGGAAACAGGTATCCAAGTCCAAGAGACACAGAAAACTCTCTTCAAAATAAGCAAAAATAGGTCAGTTACCATGACATATAGTGAAACTGGCAAAATACTAAAATAAAGAGAGAATTCTGAAGGCAGCCAGAAACAAAAGTTCCTTAAACTAAAGGGTAGATACATAAGGTTAGTAGCAGAGTTGTCCACTGACACTTGGCAGGCCAGAAGGGAGTGGCAGGAAATATTCAATGTACTGAATAAGAAAAATATGCAGCCAAGAATCCTTTATCCAGCAAAGTTGCCATTTATTATTTTTTTTCTTAAATAGTTTGTTGTCAAGTTGGTTTCCATATAACACCCAGTGCTCATCCCCGCAAGTGCCCTCCTCCATGCCCATCACCCCCCTTCCCCTCTCCCCCACCCCTATCAGACTCAGTTTGTACTCAGCATTCAAGGGCTCTCATGGTTTGCCTCGCTCCCTCTCCCCAACTATTTTTTCCCTTCTCCTCCCCCACGGTCCTCTGTTAACTTCCTCCTAATCCTCCTATATGTGCAAACATATGGTATTTGTCCTTTTCTGCCTGACTTATTTCACTCAGCATAACACCCTCAAATTCCATTCATGTTGCTACAAATGGCCAGATTTCATTCTTTCTCATTGCCATGTAGTATTCCATGGTATAGATAGATAAACCACATCTTCTTGATCCATTTGTCAGATGATGGACACTTAGGCTCTTTCTGTGTTTTGGCTATTGTTGAGAGTGCTGCTATGAACATTGGGGTCCATGTTCCCCTATGCATCAGCACTCCTGTATCCCTTGGGTAA